GTGCATGCCTACCTACGGTCATCGGCTTGACATACGAGCTCTTGGCTAGCTCGGTGTGTGAGCGCCTAGCCTACACGTTTGGCCCGAGTGCTTCATACTTGGGTCCGGCTCAGTAGCGCCGACTTGTGCCTTGCGTGCGCACTCGGCACATGGGTGTATCCTATCGTGCCCTTGGTACAAGATTTCCTGGTCAATAGGCTTGGCACTGTCGCACACCCCTCTTAATTTTTAACCTAAATTTCAGTTTTAAATTCATATAAAATATAAGATTTATAATGAGGTTAATTATAATTAATATAACATATAATCAAAGATTTAATGGAAACTCGATACCAATCGAAGGGTCATGCATCATATGGAGGTGTGGAATAAAATAAAAATTTCTTCCATCTAAAGGGTCTAAGATCATGCCGTTGAATCAACTAATCATATATTCATGAATTAAAGCGATAAATAGAGAATTACCTCTAATAGCATAACTTTAAATTATTTAGTAGAGAAAGGAGTCATCCAAGTGTCCGATCTCTATTGATTATTCACGCAATCCAAGCAACCATAAAGAAGCACTCAAAATTAGTGGATGGCTAGCTCCACCATTTTTAATTTATTTAGTGTTTCCTATAGAAATCCAATTTGGCTAATTTTGCGACAACCCAATGAGAAGTGGAAATTGGCATGTGCTAGGGTTTTTAGGAGAAAACTATTTTCTCCATTTTTTATTTTCTTTTATCGTGTACCCTAGCTCTCTTTTTAATTGTGTCAAATTTTCTCTCCCTAGAAATTATACTTGTTGTCGCATCTCTCCTTTTATTTATGGGGAGAGAGTTTTATTATTCTCCAAGGATAACGAAAGGGGTATCAATTTGTCCTCATTTGGACTCTTAGTTATTGCTTCCTAATCCTCCAAGGATCATAAGTTATTTAACATGTGGGCTTTTGATCTTTATCTTTAAAACATTCATTCTTATCCAATAAAGTCATGTTTATCCTCTCACCAAAATATCTTAAGGCATTTAATTAAACCTAATTCCCCAAAGTTATTTTGGCCGAATTAATTAATTTGGACTATCCAAATAAATAAACTTATATCATTTTAGGTGATCCATATTAGAAAACAATTTCTCAAAATACCTTTAAGCCTAAATTAGGAAACTAATTTTCATTTTAGGTTATTTACTTTTAAATTTGGAACTAACTTCCAAATTAGTTCCAATAAAATTATTTTTATCCTCCCATCAAATTATCTTAAGGCTTTTAATTAATTAATTTGGACTATCCAAATAAATAAACTTAGATAATTTTAGGTGGCTTATATTAGAAAACAATTTCTTAAAATACCTTTAAGCCTAAATTAGAAAACTAATTTTTATTTTAGGTTATTTACTTTCAAATTTGGAACTAACTTCCAAATTAGGAAACTAATTTCTAAAATGAAAAGTTAAAATAGAAAACTTTTCATTTTAGAGAACTTTTTACTTTCGAAAACCCTTTCTAAAATAGAAAACTTTCAAAATTGGAAACTTTTTTCAATATCTTTGGTTCTCTTTGATCATGTGAGCACTTAAACTTATACGTGTGACTCGATAGACTCCTAGATATGTTGACAATGTATGAATAACAAAAGACACCTCTTTTATCTCTTGATAAATAAATCAAGATTGACCTCTAACAAGACATTATGACTCCCAAATTCTCTTGGAGGATTAATTAATCTGCTATTATCTTTCTTGGACATGGTTACCATATAATTCGAGTCCTCACATCAACTTATCATAGTGTGATCTCGAACTTTGTTATAAGTCTTATTCGATTATGATCACACAAGTTTTCTTCGATTTTCAAATGTCTTAGCTCTTGGAGTAAACCAACTATGCTCTATTAGTGTGCTTTTACTATGACCATAGGTTTCTTGAGCAAAAATTTATCGAAGTGCAATGTGATAACTCCTTTAACATAAAAAGAATTACATGTCTTATCTTAGTCATCTACCAACCTCCATTAGATTCTTAGTGCACCCAATAAATTGTCCACGTGCAACCCTTTACTCGGGTCCATTAAAACGAGTGTCAAAGTGCATAAATCCTCTAATGAGGTAACCGTGATGACTTTAAGTTAAAGGCTAGTTGCACCTATCTCGTATGAGATTCTCATAGACTAGACCAAATGGGTTCTCATGACGAGTCAAGTCTAGTGATATGTTCTCTAACTTAAATCACTAAGTGTTTACTTTGGCATCATAATACCAATAAGTGTGAAATCTCCTACCGATATCGTATAGTATAAGCATAGCACTCACAAGTCTAATTATATATAGTCAACGTCCATTTTTGACAATGCTACGACTTGAGACATTTAATGATATCATTTATGTGTATTAATATTTGTCTCACATTTTTCGATCAATCACTAATGTACATGCATATCATATGGACTTTTATCTAATTTTATTCAATCAATAAATGTAAATGAAAAGAATTAATAAAAGACTTATTTTATTATAAATAATATAAATAATGCAATAATATAATAACTCAAACCTATCTAAACGTGGTTGGATCTTGAACACCTACACTAACAATCGGTTCCACCAATTTTTTTGCACTATAAGAGTTTTTTGGCATACGATTATTAACATGCATCAATTCTTTCATAAGTTAGCATAAGTCATCGCAACACCTCTTCAAATAATGATGTTCGGACTTGCGGTGTAACAAATGTGCGTAGTAGATAATTGTGAGTGATTTTTTGAATCGGATCGGATCTCCGTATTGGATACATTCAATAAATCATAAAATACCTAGGCATTAGAGTTTGGGACTTCATCAATGTTACACGAATTAAATGATGGGCCCATTGTATCCGCCACAATTATATGATATGGATTGGTCGAAGGTTTATTAAATATTTATTTAGGTTGAACAAAATTTATCCAATTGTCACCATAAATGACCGACTCATTTTCTCCGGACGTCTCCACACATAATACTCGAACATAAAATCATATCTCATCAAATTATACTTAATTGTATCGGGATATTCATAACTACGGTTTTAACGAGTCATCATAGACTTTCTTATGATGTGATTTGAAGTCTATAATGACTTCCTACTTTTATGAATCGAAATTGTCAATGCCTTCTCACTTGTATGGACGAAGTTGCTGGTAGCTTCCTAGTGATATGATTCAAAGTTGTTGGTGGCTTCCCATATGTGTGGACGAAGTTATCAATGGCTTTTTAATTTTTATGAATTGAAGTTGTCGATGACTTTCTACTTATGTAAATGAAGTTGTTTGTGGCTTTTTATTTGTGTGGATAAAGTTATCAACGACTTTTCATTTGTGGACGAAGTTGTCGGTGACTTCTTGTTTATGTCAATATGAGCTCTTAATCCCTAAATGGCCTATTTATCGATACGGAGTTTGCAATTGCTAGGGGTTAGCCAAAATTTTAATTTCTACTCCATGTTCTCCTTAAAGCATAGATACGGTACGTATAGGCTTTTGATCGCCCAAACCCTAAATTAATCAACTAATTTGTCTTAATAAAATAAATTCACTCAATTAAGTATAAAATATAATATGTTAAGACCAGATTTTAGTTTTCATATGCATACATACATCCTACCTTAGGTAGGATATGGTATTAGTGATAATTTTTTTCCTAAGTAATTGATCTGTTTATCCATATATTTGCATAGACCAATCAATTTAGGATTTTCTTGTTCCTCTTATTGCTAGGTGGCGACTCAGCCAGCACTCGAACCCTCGTCCACAAGAATAATAAAGTCTTATCATATGTTTATTTAAAGAAAATGGATTATTTTTCTAGCTTATTAATTAGAAAATACCTTTTCTTCCACGTATTTCTTTGCTGTTATTCTTTTCCCTGCCCACCCTCTATTTTTTTTAAGTACAAAGTCTATTTTTTTAATACACTGATTTTTTTTATCTTTAATAAATTATTTTTTTTAGATTATTCTTATTCTTATTATTTTTTGTTTGACGTAGAAAATAAGGAGCTTGTGAAAGATTTCTTTTCTTCGCTTCATTATTGTATGATTGAGAAGTTAGCACCAATGCATAATTGAATTTGAAAATATTTAATTTAATTTTTGTTATTGATAAGAGTAATTTTATTTAAACTAATGCTTCCACTATATAAAAAATAATTTAAGTTGTTGCAATAATTGAGAGATTCAATGCATTTGAGTTTTTGTTGTTGTTTTTTTTTTAATCAATTAATTCCTTTGGTCATTGATAATTTGTCAACTCAGGTTTATATAATACATAAATTGTTTTTAATATTGTCAAATATAATTTTATTTAGAATTTGTTTTAATATCTCTTCGTTGTTGTAAAAATATTGTATTTCGATTGTTGATTAAAAAATATAACATTATAATATTATAATCTTCTTACTATAAGCAAATAAATATACAAATCTTTTGGTTCGTTTCTTTTTTTCGGTTGCTGCCAAGTTCTAAAAATTGTGCTGTGCCCGGATCGACAGACTTTTTTTTTTTTTTTTTTTTTTTTTTTTTTTCCTTATAACCAATATTCTAAAAATATTTGGATTACCAATTTCTGGGGAAAAAAAAACCCACTCTGGATAAAAAACACCAACTTGAACTGTCTACAGAACAATACTAAAAGCCTTTGAATAGACCACCAAATCGACGCCATCTCCGCCGCGAGAGAGAATAGAGAGTATAAGAGACTGAGTAGTTCGAGTCATTCGCCTTCGTTGCTGTAGAGAGATCGGAGACATCAACTCTGCATAACACAGTTGAAGAGGAGAGCGGATGGTGGGTATGATGGTAGGAGAGGGAGTCCGACTGATCTACAGGTGGATTTGGAGGTGGTGATCGAAAGTAAAGGAGATAGGGTTTTATTGATTTTGATTTCGATTGGGTTTGTTTTTGAGATATTCAATGGTGATGTATTGCGTGTTTGTTCGATTCTGTTAAGGAATCAAATTTCTAAATTGAATTGGTTCAATATGCCAAAGACGAAGACTGAGGCTGAGACTGAGACGGAGACACCTAAAATGAAGCCAAGACCAATCGTGCGTCTTGGCATCTTTCTCATCTCTCACAGCCTCCTCGTTAGGTAATTGCTATAGCATCTTTGCTTTTCCTTTTTTTTTCCTAAAAAAAATTAATTTATAATTTCTATATATCAGTGTTGTCTGTTGTACGGCTGGTGTTTTAGCTCTCTTGCTGCTTCCACTTCTCGCCAAGAACACTTACATTTCTGAAAATGCTCTGATGCCAGGTCACTACACTTTCTTTGTTATTTTTTTTTCATTATTATTATTTTTATTTTTTCTGTGTAACTGAAAATGCATGTTGTGATGCCAGGTTCTGCCAGTAGTATGATCTCTAATCGTGACATTTCGGAGGCAAATAGGTTGGCAAATGATTTAAGTGATTTGAATTTAGAACCCCAAGATACTGCTGCCATGTATGTGTTGTTTACTTCTTCTCTCTTTTCTTTTTTTCGATTTTCAAATGCTTATTATATTTAGTTTTGTGTGCAATTACTCGTTAAAAACATAATTTTGGTTAGTGGATTAGTCAATCCTAGTATATTACAAACTATTTAAGCTTCATTTTGAGTTATTTATCAACAAAAAACTACCACTGTTCCTTTTTTTTTTAAAAATAATGTTTGCCAAAATAAAGTGGCATGCTATAGGACCGGTGTATTTTTTTTACCTTGTTTTCTCTTCTAGGTTTGCCATAGTCTTCTTCACACTGACTTTACCAAGTGTAGGATTAATAGAGGAAAACAACTCTGATATGATTCTATCTTTTTGTTATATGTAGGGAAAGTCGAAGGATCCTAACAAAATACATGTCTGACTTGGGTGCTGAAGTTAGCTATCACAAGTTCCACCCTAAGCCAAATCAGTTTCATCCACTGCATTTCTTCTCTGGTCCTGATTCTACAAGTACAGTAGAAAATTTTAGTTGTTCGGCATATGTTGTCAATACTGTTGGAATAATTAGAGCTCCTCGTGGTGATGGTAAGGAAGCTATTGTCTTGGTGACACCTTACAAGTTTGGAAAGAGTGGTTTGGCAGAAACTTTATCCTTGAGCATTGCATATACAGTATTTTCCTTGCTCTCCCGAGTTACATGGCTGGCCAAGGACATCGTATGGTTTGTTGCAGACTCACAGTATGGAGAGTATGCCCCTGTTGAAGCTTGGCTAAGAGATTATCACACACCTGTATTTACTGGTTTGGGCACCCTAAATGCTGATACATGTGTCAAAATTGATGATCTTTATGTATTGGAACGGAAGCCTATTGCGCAAAGCAAGATATCTGATGGTTTTAGACGTGCCGGGACTATGGCTGCTGCACTGATCTTAAAGGTTGCAGATAGAAACGAACTGTTGGAGGACACTCTTACTATCTATGCTGAGGCATCCAATGGGCAGATGCCAAACCTAGACCTCATCAATGCTGTGAATTATTTAGCTGTACATAGGCAAGGTTTGCGTGTAAAAGTTGAGAAATTTTTTACACTACTTGATTCAAGATGGCTTGAGATTTTGGGAGAAATATTTGAGTTACTTGGAAAAGTTGCCAGAAGCTTAAATCCTGGATGGAAATTTGGTATTTCAGCTGCAGATTATATTGAAGGCAGTGCTACACTTGCAAGTTCATTGTATTACCAGGTGCACTACTCTTTTATTTGTCTATGAGAGATTTGGTTTTTCTGTTTCGTGTAACAACATCAATTAGATCTAAGTACATAGGATTGCATTTGCTGACTTCCTCTGATCAGCGAGTAAATATTTACTTGTTGATCTAATCATTTGCTGCCATTAGGCATTGGGCATTCCCACTGGTCCTCATGGTGCTTTCCGTGATTTCCAAGTTGATGCAATTACTTTGGAGATTTCACCTAAGGTTTCTTCTCATAACAAAGCCAGGCATAATGAGTTTCTTCTACGGGGAGGCCGGTCAGTACTTATCTTACATTTCTTTCATTGTCATTGTAACTTGCTTTCTAGAAGTACAATGTGTCACTATAGTTATTTAAATGAGTGCCTGCCCCCCCCCCCCCAAAATAGTATGCTATTGTTGTTAAGAGAACTTTTTATTGACAAGGTTGTGTTGACTTGAGTGGAACCATTTTTATTCTGAAGAACTTAATGATCAGGATTGCTATTTTTACATAACTGATCTCATGTCAACAAATCTTAATTGGTTTTCTGTTAGTACATATACACATGTACATTTTGTGTGTGTCTGTCTATATGCATCATTAATTTGCTGAATCCCAGTGAAGGATCTCAATTCTAATCTAATTCAAGCAAAAGCTTTAATTTATTTGTTTATTATTTTATTTGGTGTGCAATGATATTGCCTGTCTATCTCTAAACTCATTAATGCCAACTATGACCGCCCTTTTTGGGGTTTGAACCCGTTTGCATTTGCAATGTGAGAGCTGCACCACTGCACTAAACAGCAGGTGCTCTGATTTGAATTTTTTTTTCTTTTTCCCAATGGGTTGTTATTGGTTCAAAATTCTACCAGCACAAAGATAATGCTTGCTAGAATGTATGTGATGTAATGGAGGTATGGAACAATGTTCCACTCTTTCCCTCTACATTACATTTCATTGTGTCCTAACAAACTCATCATAAGACATTTATAATATTGAAGAGATGGTTTTTTGCAAAAATTAAGGGCTCTTGATTCTTGACTTCCAAAGAATATCATCTGCTTTAGATTTCGTTTTATCTGAGCAATGCCTATCCCTGATCTTTTTCTTTCTTTTCTCTCTGCATTTTGCTTGTGTGGATCAGGACACATTTAGTGATACAGAGGCCCTACCATTGTCCAATTCAAAGCAAGTAAATTCATAGTTTTTGTTTCATTTTTTGGCTGAGGATGCTCTTGTTTCTTGATGCAGGTTGGTCGAAGGAGTTATAAGATCAATAAATAATCTCCTTGAGAAGTTTCACCAGTCATTTTTCCTATACCTGTTAACATCTCCTAGTAAGTTTGTATCAGTCGGAGTGTACATGATTGCTTTTGCACTCCTTGTAGCACCACTTCCCCTGGTAGCAGCCTCACTTTATGCTGAAGCTTATCAATTGGATCTTGGTGTCAAAAATACCAAATCTACTCCTACAGCCACTGCGTCTGATGCGCTTGGTATTACTTTCAGATCATGGAAATGGCTTTATGCTGCAAAAGAAGTTTTTCTCATTCATGTATGGGGTGCAGCTGTTTTGCTGCTTCCATATTTCATTTGTCAAGTACCAAACTGCAGCCCAACATCAAGCACTGTTATCTGGATTTTTCTTTCAATGCTTAGCCTCCTAATCTTCTACTTCATAGTGGGTTCTCCATATACTCATGTCTCTATATCTCAACCTGAGAAGAAAGGCGAATGGGCTATTTTAAAATCAGTGACCATCTCAGCAGTCTTCATTGGTTTACTTCTTATGTCAGTTGTTAATTTTGCAACAGCAGAAATTGGTGCGTTGCTTTTGGTACCAATGTGTTTGATGGCACAACCTTTGAAGCTGGACATTAAAGCTGGGAAGTTAAGGAGTTTCTTGAGGGCTATTTGTAATCTGGTTTTGGCTTTCGTTGCATTTCCGCCAGCTGCTTATTTTGTAGTGAAAACTATATTTGAAGGTTTTGACAGCATTAACGTGGGCGAATTCTGGAATTGGATGGAGTCCCTTTGGGCATGGAACAGTGCTACATACATATATATGGGTATGGTCCATCTGCCATGTTGGGTGTTGTGCTTGCACGTTTTACTTCATTCTTGTTGACAGCTTGGTCTGTTATGGCTTTACTGTACTGTTGAACTGAATTTTGCAAATCAGTAGGTTAATGAAATTTTTGTTTTGATATCATCTTCTTCTTCTCTGAACTGGCTACTGATGATGATTTTGCAATGGGATTCTGACTAATTAACGCCATTCCATTTTTTGTTTTGTCCTGAACAACCATGAAGACAGACTTGGTCTCTCAGGGCCATCTGCACTAAGCAGATTACAAAACCCCTTCGAGGGGAAGCCAACCAATCTGGTGGACAGTCTAGGGAGATCTGCAGCAAGATTTGGCTGCCATACTAATTTACCTAACATTACGTCTGGGAATGTGCTGTAGGGGGTCTTTTACATCAGCTGTAACCATAAGTAGTTTTAAATCATGGACAGTTAAAAAAAGTTTGTGGTCGTTATCTAGGATCGCAACTAATAATAATACTAAAATAACTGTAATCATATGTTCTAAAATCATTATATAACAACTGTTATATAACGTAATGATTTTTATTTAAAACTATTCTTATCATAAGTTTGTTGGTTTAAACACCAGTTGGGTATCTCTTTCCATGGACAAGCCATGGTATTTCCGTTTTGATGCCAATCGAACTCTATCCATCTCAACACCTTTCCATCCCTGGGGGAAACAAACCTCTTTTAAATATTTCCAAACAAATTGGCAACGTCCCTCAAATATTTCCTCTAACAAGCCTGTTCAAACTGTTCCACCGGGATTTAATCCAATACCGCACGGAGAGTAGCCCACATCAATGTCAAACCAAGTTTTCCTTAGCATGTGAGCAGAAAAACAATAGATACCCCACACAGACGAACAGGACACATCTCATCTAGGGACCACATATTTTTCCCCAGAAAAGGGCTCGCAACCGTTCTTCTTTTATTTGTTGTTAGGTCGCATCGAGATGATTGTAGAAACTTACTAATGTTTAATATATTTTATTCCATCCTAGATAATGTGTTAAATATTTGTTTATATTTAAACTTCATAGCGTCATGCCAAAGATAATATATTTTATAGAGAGAAAACTGAAACGTTGTAAAGAAATTGGAAAATGTGATTTCAACATTCTGTAGTTGCTAGCCAGACAAATCTGTAAGTTTGTTGCATTTCAAATAAATTTATTGTTTTTAATAAATGTTTTAAAAATGAATATAGATAGATACATCAAAAGTAGACTTATTTATTTATTTATTAAAATATCCATAGTGTATGGATATTCTAAATTTTCAAAAATCTATTCATCCATGTGTCTGTATCGTGTTCCGTTTATATCTTGTGCTCTAATAAAAAGATGAAAAGAAAAAAAATCTTTTGCAGATCAATGCTCACGATTGCCTAACCAAATTAAAAACTCAATGTTCGGTGCTCTAAAAAAAAACAAAAAATTATTGGAGCATGATCAACAGAAACCTTTTTGACTTTGACGATTTTGTTGCGTAATAGAGACATTGGCATTTGGGCGGTGTAAGGTCTAAGAAGAAAATGCCAATCACACTTTCCTTATCCAGTACGTGACATCACGCGCCAAAAATAACAAACCAAGAAAAGCATCGACAACCTTTCACATTTTTTGTTTTTTATTTTTTATTTTTTATTTTTGACAGATTTATTCCTTTCCCGCATATTGGATTACTTCACTTATGTTCGTTGAGGTTCAGAAAAGCTGAGATTAAATATTTTTTTACTGCACGATCACAAATATTTTCGAGTCAGTTTATATATTTATTGATATTAAAATTTTCTTTTTCTTTCTTTTCTTAAAGCAAATTAATGAAATATTTTCTATATCAATGTAGTTCATTCCAAAAAATAAAATTTTTATAAATGCTGATTTCAATTAATTTTTTTTTGTAAAAAAAGAAAAAAAAAGAAAAGACGCTCTTGATCATCATGTCAAACCTTTAAAGTTAGAGTTAAAGCACGTAGTTATCTCTATTATTTTGGTTTATTATATTCTTGAATTATATTTTTTTATCTAATATACTCTTCAATTAAACAAACAACAAATCATGATTAATTTAGAACACCGTAGCGGTTTGTAAATTAATATGTTGTAAATTAATATATATCTAAAATTAATACAGAGGCAAACAAAAAATTCAAAAAAAGAACAAATTATAGACTAAGAAAAATACAAAACTAAAAATAACTTTTTTTTTTTTTTTTTGTAAAATAACAATTTCTAAATATTTATTCAAAAAAAAAGCTAGTAAAAGAAATTTCTTTTGCATTTTTTGTTTATTTATAATTTTTGTGAAAAAAATTATAAATAAAGATATTTAAAAGATTTTTTTATATTCTTTCTTTATTTACAATTTTGCTAAAAAAGATTTTAAAAGAAATTATATTTTTTTATTTCAGTGTTTATAATTTAAATGAATTTTTATATTTTTGATATTTATAATTTAAAAATAATTTTTTAAATCTTTATTTATTTGTAATTTTACTAAAAATTTTAAAAATAAATTTCTAGAATTTTTTAAAATAAAATTTAAAAAAGGTTCTTTCATTGAAAAGAATTATAAATAAAGGAAAATTTAATTTAATTTTTTTTTGCTAAAAACAATTTTTATTTTTATTTTTAAATTTTTAATTCTTTATTTTTTTTTATTGTGAAAAAAGTTATGTCTTTAAATTAAAATTTTGATATGTATCAATTTAAAAGCATGTCATGTGTCATAAACTAAAGATAATTTGTTGTTTCCTTAATTAAGAGGCATATTATGTTAAAAAAAAAAAACTAAAATAACAGTACAAAGACAGACTAATCCAAATTGGTATAATTACAAAAACAATTTGACGATGACAGTGATACACCAATATTATATACTTGCTTAAACTACGAACTTTTGGGTATTTGGCCTTTTTTTTCATTTTTAGGTTACAGAAGGACAAGAGGTTTAACGGACGAAAACAAAATATAAAAATATTTCATGAAGATATCTAGGAATCAACTTACTAATAAACGCCTTCTAACAGATTCATATTCCCACAATGAAATTTAACATCCATCTACCAATCATTTTAAACTTACCGGTCAATGTTTATAAAAAAAAAGTGTTTTACGTTTAATGAGTTTACAAAAAAGACTTTGATATTTTATGCAAACAAAAAAAAAAGTCTTAAAAATTTTAGACTTTTGTATACAAAGTTTATTTTTTAGAAGTCTTGGTTGTAGTTTGAAAAGTTATTTTAGAAAACAACAACAAAAAAACAAAAAAACAATAACGTTATTCCCACTCTTTATGTTATTATTCTCACTCTATAGTTTAAGGAGTGACAAAACTAAGCCTTTTTGAATTTTTTCCCCTTTATATTTAAATTTCATGATATTTTAAAAATCATAAAAATATAATAACTTTTTTTAATGAAATAAATTTCAATAAAATAAAAATTATCGATATGTTAAATAAATATGTTTGTTGATGAGTATCGTGGTCTACATGGCATGCAAGAGGATGGTAACCCAACACACATAGATTCGATAACAAGAGCTCGTGCAATATAGTTTCAAGTCAATTTGATCTTTCCTTTAAGTCTAATTATGAGTAATTTGAGGGCCTTGGATCACTTGTTTGTTGGTTGGAGCTTGTATGACCAAGTAAAAGCTTGTTTGAGTTTGATTTAAACCTTGAAAGTATTCGTACTGTATGATGTTTATTTGCGGATTACTTTGTTTTATTTTTCCTATTCTATTTAGGTTATATTCCCCCATTTTTTAGCACTTAGATAATTATTCTCAATCAATTGTGAATTTGGATTGTTTTTCCTATTTAGAGTAGAATTCGAATAGGAGCAGTTGAAATTCAAAAAAACCAACTTGGTTTATTATTCTCTAGTCATGCTTATCCTTAATTATATTTTAGGAGTGTGTTTCAATTAGAAGAAAGAGGTTTGTTCCTTTATTTTGATAGGTGATTATTAATACAAATTTTGTGATATTATTCCTTAATTACCGAAGTACTTATCTAGCTAGACTAGTGGTGAATAAACTCGAATCTTATCACTCACAATCTTAATTTGAGTGTGGCGATTTACCCTTTTCTTACTTATTTGTGCGTCATATCAACTCAATTTGGAAAGCCTTTTTTCTTTTCCTTATCTTATTTTTTACTTTAAACCAATTAAAACCGACTTTAGATCACCATACATATTCCACAAGTAAACCAAACTATGACTTGGGCATATCATACCGATATTAGAACTCAAGTTGTTGATCCTTAACCCTCGAGTAAAAAACATTAGGGAGAGATAGGACCATGGTTAGAAATCAAGGTAATCAAGTTGAGATCCCAATAGGGCCTAGTCTTGATGAGCAAGCTCAAATTTTACAACTTCAAAGATCGAAAAAGAGCTTAGAGCAACCCTATTGTAATTGTAGAAAGCCTTGCAACAACTCATAGTTCAACAAAATAAGCCTCAACAATGATAATCACACAATCTAAAGAGAGAAGAAGAAGGCTTGGATGACGAGAGATGAAGATAATAAAAACATGGGAGATGTAATAATTCCATAAGGGTAGTCTGCGACAAGACTATAGTAAAAACATCAACATGAAGATCCTTTAATTTTAGGGGTTCAATTGATCCCAAAGAGTACTTAGTGGGTGAAACGTGTAGAGAAGTTCTTTGAATGTCAAGACTATTGTGAAGTTAAAAAGTGTAAGTTGATAGCCTTAGAATTCATTAGATTTGCTAATATATGATGGGATAACTTGAATAAACAATATAGTTTAGATGGAAGGGTGAAATTTGTAGTTGGAGGTTAATAAAAAGATTAATGCATAAACAGTTTGTACCCAAATATTATAAGCATGAGCTTTATATTTAACTAAAAAATATACATCAAAGGGCTATGAATGTAAAGGACCATGTGAAAGTGTTTGAGTCTATTATGCTTAGATGTGATTGCGAGAACCACAAGAAAAAACTACTACTTATTTCTTAGTGGTTTAAAACTAGAGATTGCTAATGTCTGTTA